GTGTGAAAGTAGTAAGGGTTTTCCCCCCCCCCCCCAAACGGCTAGCATTCCATGTTTACGGAATCAGCGATGCCGTCTTTTCGCGAAAAAGAACTGGTTAGCAAAGGTCAACCCTAAAATTCGCACATTCCGATCACCCAACGGTTGACTGTGACCGCCGGCGCATTATTCAACAGGGTCGAAACGCTTTGAAGTCAAAGAGTATGGTGCTGCCTAAAAGGTGTCTGCTGTGCCCAGCCGCATCAGGAGTGAGAGATTAATGCCCCACTCCCTGCGCTTTCGGGAAAGGTCAACCTCCTGGAGCCGATTAGGTCAGACTATTAAGTCGTCAGTTCCGAGCTGGGTCGTGCAGAGGCTAGGGGTAGGATCCCCGAAAAAAAACGCAACATCCTCCCACTGCCTTGTGGGTCAAAGGCTCAAGGTGGGGTACCTCAAACAAAACCTCTTGTTCGGCCTGGGCAACTGGGAAGTATCATTTGCCAGCACAGTTCTATGTCCACCGAAATCCATCCCCAGCCCCTTCCCACCATACGAGCAAACGTTTCTGAGTCGCTTGACTGTCAGTTGTCCGACCGATGGGCTTTATGCACCCAGCTCCCTAGACAAAACGGCGCTTTTCCAAATCCGCGAGGTCCGTTCTATCTAGGAGCCTTGAACGTCTACACTCTGTGTCAAAATGGCAAACACAGAATGCTCGCTGAAACCTTGTGCTCCAAAACATGCGTACAAGACCCAAGCGTGGTTGAGCATCTCAAAACTCTAAGGACGAACTCAGCTTTTTCACATGGCATACGCGATTCTCTCCCTTTTTATCCGTGCGTTGACTTCGTTTGTCACACTACAATCAGAGCAATTGCAACTTCTGTGATACGTTACGCACTCCACAACCTCTAGTGTCACTCCATGAATTCCTAGACGCATGCCCAAAGACTGTACGCCCTGCAGCATATGCACACACCCTAAGGGCATCTTCCACATGCACACAGATAAACCTTCGCACAATGCGGATAGAAGGTTCTACCGCTCCTCGTATGTTAGATACCAGTACTCAGTTGCTGGATTCAAAAGCATGAGTACATATTTTTCCACGAATTGTCATAAAAACACACCAATGGCAGATGAAAAATTCGGCTGCACCACTGTACTCGACTTCTGATTTTACCATGGCGTCAGACTATACAGTGACGTAAGTGTTTGCACTAGGATAAAGTATCTTCTCAAAAATGGTGATCGCTGGAAATAAAAACATGAAAGGGGAAATGGAAGTTCGACACATCCGTAAGGAGAGGAAATCCCTTCAGTAAACTACTGCGCCGAACCGTTTGGCTGGCTTCAAGCAATCACACCAGGAAGGATTGTTGTATGGAAGCTCTAGAATGCCGCGATCATATTGGTTTTGCTTAATCACCGTTACACCGGAGTCTTTGAGACCATACAGAGAACGAAACAAGTGTTTTTGCTCTCGTCACGTAGACTAGACACCCAAAAACCTTGACTAGCTTGGTTACACCTCTTCGTGGTCGGTCAATCTAAACTAAGATTGCCAATTTTGTAGGATATATTCACTGCAAGGGCGAAGCTGAGGGACGATTGCTGGGTAAAATCCACCAACTCATCGAACAGTAAAGAACAGATGGTGGTTCCTCATAGTGGAAGACGAACTGGGTCGATCAGCTTAGCGTCTCTGTTAAAAAGCGCTGGTGTGGTGTTCTTTGGAAGCACATGGAATCTAATTGTCAGAAGGTGTGTTATGTCCGACTAAGTCACTAACTTGTTACATCTGATTGCTGTTCCCGCTCCAGTGCTCAGAGCCGGAAAAAGACTCGCCGATAAGGAACAAAACAGCTTTATTGCTCACAAGCGAGTGCAAGCGTGAGTGCGAAAATACTGCGCGCCCCTAAGCTATTTTATTAAAGGAACAGTGTCTTGGTCCTACTCTGTCTCGTGCTGTCTGGCTTTGATACAAGGCTGTGACGCGCTGCATATTGAGGGGACGTTGTTTGACCTTGACCCAACGCTGACTCATGCTGTCTGGCTTCGGTACAAAGCTGTGACTCGCTGCACAATGAGGGGGCATTGTCTTTCTGGTCAGCATCTAGTGGAGTTAAGAGGCTCAGTAAATTTTGGGCATTTAGTAGTTATTTTCAAGAATCTTACCTTCCTGATAAGGTGCGCCTGGGTTACATACTGGCAATAATGCCTTGTCACTTCTCAGTGATCGGTTGCACGCACCATCACAAGATGTTTGGAGGGCACGATTTTCCTCTAGAGACGTAACCAACCCTTGAATTTTCGTGACATTTTCAAACACTAGGGATTCTGATAAGAGCGCGGAAATCAGGTCATTAAGGAAGACCAGAACTAGTCGAGGCCATGCATCCTGGTACACCACATTCCACTCGAATGAATCTTGACAGAGTTCAGCGAACCTTTATCTTTTAAATCCGTTTACGGAGGAAGGGTTTGCCCCATACTACCACCAATCACCGTGTGCTATACACTTGAAGTTCTGCATGTGAATGCGCTTAACTATATTGTCGCAAGATTTTGAGAGGTCTCGGTATTAGCATCCACCATGTGTCCAAATCATCCCTTGTCTATCATCAGATATGACGTGCATGAAATTTGTTTGGCAAGCCGTGTTTTTTTCCGGAGTTAGACACATTTTCGATATATTATATCTCTCTAGTCATTATAGTCGCCATGATTTTGGATGTCACTGGAAATAGGGTTGCTAATCGGTAGGTAGTTAGATCTCATTTGTTTCCAGACGTACATTTCCCCTTGGTGGTTCCCTGTTTCCACACCAAAGAGAAAGGATTCTCCGGTTGGATGAGCACAAAATGTAGGCTTGGATTTCTGCAAGCAGTTCGAACAGCACCTCTGGAATCTTAGTTGGTGGTAAACTGTTCGGTTGTGGCAAAAGGAGCGAAACCGGAGTCCAATGATTCCCCTTTTCGCCAGAACAACAGGAGGGCTGTTCAAGACAGACTGATGTGAATCTGGGTTGTGTTAATCCTGCAATTATATACTTTTCATCGTTATATGTTTTCGGGTGGCGCGCGATATTTCTTTGCATTTAGGATAAGAGCGACAACCACACACTACGTATTGAAAAAGTGATGGGTGCGAAGTGTGTTGAGTTGCTGTGGCTTCTAATGTCAGTCCCGACCAGTTGGACTTACTTTGTAGTATCACGTTTCATCCAATGTAATCCGGTGATATGCCGGCAATGAAGCTTTTGGTCTCCACAAGGTCGATTGGCAAATTCTCATTGATACACTCGGCCTTATCTTCGCAGACTGGTTATTTACAATGAAAGGAAAAACGGCGTAGACAGACCACACACAAGAGATCGAATTTTGTCTGTATAGCCCCTCTATCGAACCTCTTTATTAAGCCAATCTCTAGTTCTCATCCTTATGTGTCGTTGTTTGCTGGCAGGATATATCGGAGTCTGTTTGAAAGTAGAATTAAGCAGAGCCTCATTTTTAGGATCTGGGATCTAAAATCTTAGGGTGGACATATTAGAGATATTAGAGATATTAGATGCTTAGCCCAACACCGGATCTACAGAGGGTTTCCGCACGACCGAGATCGATCTATGTTTTAGATAGCTACGTCTTGTTGGACACAGCATTCTCCGTTGTCACTTTGTCGACCGAGCTGCTAATGAGTGGTGCGTGTCCCAGATAATCTGGGGCCAGAGAATTCTACGCAACTCAAGGGTGAAATCTTCACTGCGTCGGTTAATAACGTTGCTACGGAAAATAGGGAAAGCATCCGAACGTCAGTTAGTGGTTAGTGTTCCACACACACACACACACACACACACACACCGACACACACACACCAACACACACACCAACACACACACACACACCAACACACACACTTCGGTCACTACCGAATAATATACGCCGAATCAATACTGACCAAAAGGAGTCTCAAAAGAGCCTAAAAGGAGTCTAACAAAAACAAAAGTCACCAAGGCTGACACTTCAACAAATCACACGAATGACCAGTCTACGTTTGTGATGATTAGTAACTTACCTAATAGGGAAGGGAATGAAAATTGTTTGTGTTGAACAGTTTTTCTGAGAGTTTGACAACAACCGACAGCGCGCGATACAGTGATGTCCTGAAATAACCTTAACCTCAAGGTGCAGTTGGGTGACCCGAATAAAAAAACAAGACTGGATTGATCGACTGTCGTTTGCTAGCTAAACCAGGTTCACTGTCCCTGTCAGTATCAGTAAGGAGTACATGTTATCGGGCGTCAGACATTTAATAGAGAGGTTAAGCACGGTAAACAACGGGATGTTAGACAAAAATGTATGAACTGTCATCCCCGCCATGAGTATATTAGTGGGTAAAGACACGAACACGCTACTGAATGGTTAAGCGACTGGGTGGCCGACAGTCTGTCTACTTGCCTGCCTACATGTCTGCTGGCTTAAATTTTTTCCTCTCATGCATCTGGATGAATGCTTAGCCTGACCACTTGGCTCTTACAGCCCTGTCTGCCTGTGCGACTACTTACACCACTAGATTTCTTTCTTCTAAACTGTCTTTAGTCACACCGTAAATGGAACATCGTTGTGTGCGAAATAGTCCTGGCACCGTTGAAAATGGGACGTTTTGGTAAAACCATTTTACGGAGTGTTATGTCTTGGTTGGCTTCCAACTCTTGAAACTAGGTCGGAGTGACGTATTCGAATGATAAATTAGATGCGACCTCGTCAGGACTCGTGAGCGACCTACCGGGAACTCTATCATAGTCACTGTAACGAAGGTCTTCTCGTCGCCCTTGATAGTTAGGTGGAATGGGTAAAGAAGCAAATGACTGGCTGCTGAAGTTAACTAAGAGTTCGACAGGACCGCTGTTATCTGCTGCCTATACCCACTGACTCAACCGAAAGGCTGACAGAACACATAATGACATTCAAGAGCACTAAGTAGATGGGTCAAAAATGATGAAAAAACAAGACGAGACAGCGCAATATTGTTGTTATTTTCCCATTCAAAGAGCCAGCCGCTCCAAATGACTAAGACTTTGACCCACTTCTCCGGACAACGTATCGATTTATTGTGGATTCAAATGCTCGTCTCTAACGATTTCCTCTTGGGTTTCCGTGTTACAACCAGTAGTCCATTTCTCGCTCCTCCAGACTGCGGAAGTCTAGTTCTAAAGCGACAATACGAAAATGGTGAGTAGCTATCTCTGACTAAAACTTTTGTGACTCAATAGTATTTCTCGGTGTCATTTGTCAACTGAATACAGTACTTTTTTCTCTTGTGGGATCTGAGGATGGGCTCAGTGGTCTTGCAAAAAGACACGATAACGTTTCAAATGTGACCCACTTCACTTCATAGATTTTGAACAGGTGACTTACTCTATAGTATCCCATCATATTTTAATTATCGACTTTATTCCACTCTACAGCGTGAATGCATCAGTATCCATGTCGGTCAGGCTGGTGTACAGATTGGCAATGCATGCTGGGAACTTTATTGCCTTGAACATGGAATCCAACCAGATGGTCAGATGCCTACTGATCAAACCGTCGGCGGTGGTGACGATTCGTTTAATACATTCTTCAGCGAGACAGGGGCTGGGAAACACGTTCCTCGGGCCGTTTTTCTTGATTTAGAGCCAACTGTCGTGGGTGAGTTAAGATTTAAATCACTGCTTAGTTAATGTGTCTCCAAAATACTGGCGATGCCAGATGGATTCATCATTCATTGTTGTCGTGTTTATCGGCAGTTTTCATCTCACGAATTCTGAAAAGTATTGAGATTTTTCGGATAGGGCATGTTTGGCGGTAGAGTAGCCTCAACAACAACGATAATCTGTTTTCACTATTATGATGACCATACCAATACCAATAAACATGATAGTATAGGGACAGCGTTTGCACCTATATCCTGGTCACACTGCTATCAGTTGTTCGCCCTATGAGAACGGTAGGACACTGTCTTATCCTTCGGAAAAAATGAGATATATTCCATGGGTCTAGACCAACTGTTTTCCAACAAAGCAACATAGCTGATCAACACAGGCGCGATATGTGTCCAAAACATACCAGAACACAGGACCTTTTTCAACTAGTGTGGTAGACGACTGGAATCTTTAAAAGTATGGGATTTCCAGGGGAAGAAGCCAGCTGCTTGTGGGTATGATCACTGTTCGATCGCCGTAACCGCCAATCAACGACCTTTTAATAATAATAATAAAACAATAGTTGTTCGTTGTTCGTTGGATGGGGTGAGGAAATGGACGCGTGCGAATCTCGAAAACATCCGAAATGAATTTTCTTATGTAAGGAAATCTGGACATTTGAAATGAGCTGATCACAGTGTAATTAGCAGTCAGTCAAGCGATCAATTTATCAGCTATAAACCGTGTGCCACAGGCAAATTGGTCCCAGCTACTACAGTTTTAATCACCGGATAATGGGAAAGCGAACACGCAATAAAGCCTTGGAGGCGAAGGCATGTTTAGTTTATTACGCATTGAAGGCGATAGCTTTGATGCACGAGCGTCATTGATTGCACCAATTTTTTTAACCACTAGTAATTTGAGTCCCCGGGGTACCCATCCAGGGAGGTGGCAGTTGCCCACCCGAATAAGTTTACTGGTTAGTGTTTTCGTACTTTGTTGCCAGGTCATACACTGTCCACCTCTCCGCCACTTTCACTCAGTATGGGGCTTGGCGAAAAGAGCTCTGTGAGGCAGACGGCCTGCCGGCATGCGAGTACATGTCCCAACTAGCGCAACCTATGAAAATGAGTAATTCATCTATCGCTGGACATTTTTTCCTCCTAACACCATCTGGCGTACCTCAGCATTACTAATCCGATGTTCCCAACATACCTGACCATTGCTGCTGATCAATCGTTGACATCTTCTTATGCGCATAGGGGCACTTTGCCAGAGGTTTTCCGTGAGGTGGATTGTCGGTCATGGGCGGCAGCAATGCTGGATATCACTGCAGCCCAATTGTCTCATACAAAGGGTGATTTATGCGGTTGTGTCATCTGAAATGTCGTCAAGCTAGAAGTCTGATTGATGAATAAAACCGATAGATAAAATTCAAACTACGAAACATACACACTTGTTCAGCTGTTCAGTTTCAGGAGGGATTTAACGATTCGTTGAGATTCTTCTCTCACCGTCTTGTGTATGGAAGCAAGAGATGTCGATCTGCGTCATGCCCAACCTATGAAGTCCGTTGTAGTGAATGTGCAGTTTCAGAACGAGATTACGCTCTGTTTTGATTTCCACGTTGCTGGGGAGAGAGATAGAGCTCAAACACCTAAGAGCCCTCAAATCACACCTAATTACAGGTTCCAAAACCATAGATATGAGAACATGAATTTTTGGTGATTTACCGAAGCTGATTATTTGTATCTGGTCAGCCACGCTTGAGACCAGTCAGCATTTTCAACCTTTCGTTTTTTCCAAAGAAATGTTTCACATTAGTGATTAAACACTGGTTAGGTCAGGTGATGTTTGTTAAGAAAGCAGAGTTGGTCTCATTGATGGCACCGTACCTTTCCTTTTACTTTTCACTCTTTCTCTGAGGATTCCTTTCCCTCATGAGTGAATAACAATCAGGCATCAGTATTCATTGCTGGCGCGTTGCTATCAGTGACGATGATGATTCCGAAAATCCCCGTTTAGAACAAGAACAAAAATGAAATGATGAACATGATTTCCGCAAGGTCTTAATTCGTACAATTCCAAAGACCAATTTAGTGAGCACCATGAACAGCAAACAGAATGATGAGTAAGAAGTGACACTGGTTATCTGCTCCAGGTCACCAGTAAGATGACCTAAATTTGGTACTGCAGGCTGTGCTGTGGCATTCCATCACCGTAGGTGTGGCGAGAGATCATGTAGGCCATGGCGAGTCCCACACACGATCAAAGCGCTTTGATGACCCGGAATCGGTCGTGGTGTCGAATGGTACTAGTATAAGCCACTGTGAGTGATCATCGCGCCGTGTATCGTGTATGCTAAGTGCTGCACAATTGAGCTAGCTCTGAAACCCAATCAAGTTGCACTCCGTCCTCTCATTCTTTAACCGAGTTGACTCGTCGTGCATCCAGTGTATTCCGCTACACAGAAGAAAAAGAAATTAATTGTGGTAACATATTTTAGACATGGACAGATTCTCTACCTTAGAAAGTGGAGGAAAACAGGTATCTACCTGGGAACTAGTCCGAGGTTCTTAAACAAAAGACAAGTGTACACGGGTTTCCTACCCTGGATTCTTCTCTGTTCACGTTTTCTAAAAAAATGTCGTAAAACTCGGTGAGATTTAAGTGTTCCTGTATTACTGCATCTTCAGTGCACATTTTCCTTGCTCTGTCAGCACGTATGTGGATCAGGTTGGGTTTTCGTTTTAGTGGGATAATGCAGGTGAGCTGCGGCCACGTAAGCTTTCGGCACGCCGATTCTGTCAGTGAAACACCCATCAGATTCCTCCCGGGGCCTTACGCAACTCTTGCTTAAGCAAGCCCATTTCGGGTTCATTGTTTAACACTGCGGAAATATTATCCATACATACCGTTGAGAATATTATCATTTTTTAAAGAGAAGCCGTTATTGCCATTTATCAGTCATTTTTCGGCAATTTACATGACTTGCCTGACTTCATTTGCCTGTTATTCACCTGCAGATGAGGTGCGAACAGGAACCTACCGACAACTATTCCATCCGGAACAACTTATAACGGGTAAAGAGGACGCGGCGAACAACTATGCACGGGGTCATTACACAATTGGTAAAGAAATCGTTGACCTAGTATTGGATCGGGTGAGGAAATTGGCAGATCAGTGCACTGGTCTCCAAGGGTTTCTGATTTTCCATTCCTTTGGTGGCGGTACTGGATCTGGTTTCACCTCACTACTCATGGAGCGACTTAGCGTTGACTACGGGAAGAAATCGAAACTGGAGTTCTCTGTTTACCCAGCTCCACAGATTTCTACCGCAGTCGTGGAGCCATACAATTCCATTCTAACGACGCATACCACTTTGGAGCATTCGGACTGTGCATTCATGGTTGACAACGAGGCCATTTATGATATTTGTCGGTAAGTGAGAGTTGATTGGCACTTCGCTTCAGCTTCACTCAGCTTCAGGTAGAGAGGAAAACATAAGGAGATTTATAGTTTTTTCATAGCAGGCTCTACTGATCCTCTCCCTTCCTTTCTGGAGGTTATCAGCTTTTCATGCAGCCACGAAATTAAACTGTCGAACATCCAGTAAGGCCATATGCTTTGTTCGCCCAGTCTGGCCCAACACATACATACATACATACATACATACATAATACATACATACATACATACATACATACATACATACATACATACATACATACATACATACATACATACATACATACATACAATACATAATACATACATACATACATACATACATACATACATACATACATACATACATACATACATACATACATACATACATACATACATACATACATACATACATACATACATACATACATACATACATACATACATACATACATACATACATACATACATACATACATACATACATACATACATACATACATACATACATACATACATACATACATACATACATACATACATACATACATACATACATACATACATACATACATACATACATACATACATACATACATACATACATACATACATACATACATACATACATACATACATACATACATACATACATACATACATACATACATACATACATACATACATACATACATACATACATACATACATACATACAACATACAGTATAAGATTAGTTTCCGTGTCGGCTAAGCGAATAAATATGTGATTCAGATGAAATGTTAAATAGAGAGTATAAGCGAATAAGATTCATGAGTTCGGTTTTGATTAGAGACATTATCAGACATGGCCCAGTCGCACCCTCAGTGGCGCTCATGCATCAAAGCTATTGCCTTCAATGCGTAGCTCCTTTTCCAACCCCCCCCCGCTTGACAGCCCACTGACAGTGCTGGATTTATGCACCAACTTACCAGCTCGCGCGTGCAATGCGCAGCTACCTACCCCTACCACCCCAATCATCGGTGAACCAAACTGTGGCAGCTACAACCAGTGTACGACGAGTACGCGGTTCTTACAGCTGACAATGATGATGATGATGATGATGATGATTTTTCGCCCTTATTCTAGACGAAACCTGGATATCGAGCGGCCAACATACACAAACCTCAATCGACTCGTCGGTCAGATTGTCAGCTCTATCACCGCCTCCTTACGCTTTGACGGTGCCCTCAACGTCGATTTAACGGAATTTCAAACCAACCTGGTGCCCTATCCCAGGATCCACTTCCCGTTGGCAACCTTCTCACCTACCATTTCTGCGGAGAAGGCCTACCACGAGCAACTTAGTGTCGGCGAGATTACCAACGCTTGCTTTGAACCAGCTAATCAGATGGTCAAGTGTGATCCGCGTCATGGAAAGTACATGGCGTGTTGCATGCTATACCGTGGTGATGTTGTGCCCAAAGACGTTAATGCTGCAATAGCAACTATCAAGACCAAGCGTACAATTCAGTTCGTAGACTGGTGTCCAACCGGGTTTAAAGTTGGTATCAACTACCAGCCACCAACAGTTGTACCTGGTGGGGACCTAGCCAAAGTACAACGCGCTGTGTGCATGTTGAGTAATACTACTGCGATTGCTGAAGCATGGGCTAGATTAGACCACAAGTTTGACTTGATGTATTCTAAACGTGCATTCGTCCATTGGTATGTTGGTGAGGGTATGGAAGAAGGCGAATTCTCAGAGGCGCGAGAAGATCTGGCCGCTCTTGAGAAAGATTACGAAGAAGTTGGTGCTGACAGTGTGGAGGCCGAAGGAGAAGAGCTGGGTGAGGAATATTAGAAGCAAAGAGGTTTCAAACTTTTTTCCATGACATCACTAAGAAGATATAGAAACTTTAAGGTTCGTTTCACAGCATTACCTTTGGCATGCATCCTGTCCCAATCATTCAGTGCCTACGTTCCTTGTGTTAACAACTTTGAGCTATCCGTTGGCAGCTGCACCAAGCCGCTTTCAATTCCATGTACCTAAGTCCCATCGTGACCTCTAGTCATCTATGTGGGTTTAGTAACTCTGGTGAATGAAGACCCCACCACGAGACTGGTTCAGTGCAGAGAGCTTGAATTACACTGACATTTACATCAAATCTTCCTTTTCCATTTTCATCACTCAGGGAGATCCTAAATTTGACTGAAAACAACCGGTTGTATGGTGTGAACATAAGTGCGGATTTTAATGGTGATAAAAAGGAGCGATTCTGAAGATGAATAAGCGTTGACCACAAAAGTGTTGGTTTTCCCCATCGGTTACAGTCAGTCAGTCAGTCAGAAAGCGTGCCTAAATATGATTGGTAGTTAACTTTGTGAAATCTGTATATGCGTAGACTTCAGGTTTTTCTAGGACACCGGCTCTGCCTCACTCACAATTCGTTACTATCTATGAGAGCTGGACTATTTCGCAAGCAGTGCGCACTCATTTCGATTTTATCGGACCACTCGGCTATCTCATCGGTCATATTGCTGGTCACTATTGAGTAAGCGGCTAATGACATTGACTCAAGCGACCATCTGAAATTACGGCATATGAGAACCTACTTACTATCCTGATAAAAACACGAAGATATTTGGATAATCATATACTGAGGTGTTCGCCTACAAAGTACAATAATGTCTCACTTACTGGTCTCCGGATCATTTACTGTTATACTAAGTGCCATTCAAGTAATTCATTTTCGCGACGAGCGAGGTCCAGCTGCTCAACTCTCCCGTTCCTAAAACAGAACATGGAAACCTAAACTCTATCGTATTAATATGGAAATAACAAGTCCATCATCGTCGTTGGAAGCAAGTCCTATGATTCACTGTGGCGCGACCATTGACTTAGGGAAGCCCTGATGTTTGAAGAAGATAAGAAGCGTCATAGAAGAAGACTCACCAATGTAGCATAAGGAATCGAGGAACCCACAGCACTCAATTAGGTGATCTGAAGAGAAACTAATATGAACTTAATTAACCTCATTTCACCGCCATACCTCGTAGCGTCTCTGACCAGGCACAAGAAAAATCAAGCGGGCCTCATTCTGGAGAAGAGTCCCACCTGCAGCCTCTAGACCTCTGCTTACTTAAACTTATTTCCTCTTCTTCGGGCTCTTAGCATTCCACATTTGGCATGTAAAACAGAAACGGTAAGCGATAACATGCTGTGCCTAACACATGGCTAGGTTACTTCACTTTGTAGCGCTTTCTGCACCCCATAGATGATGTACATGTCATGTCATTACACAGTAGTTTGATAATCACATCCCTGCAAATTCGCTGGCGATGCCAGATGACATGGATGACATTAATGCCCAGGGACCTGAGAATGTCTTAGATCCACGGGTAGCTGGCGATATCTCGAAATCATACTGGAAGGCGTCCTGCGCCATAATGTGATGCAAGTGACCCTTTGGACCCAACGGCACATCTTACCGACGCCGTGAGTAACGCGTACTAGCAGACGCGCTCCATCGGTCCCCCCTGAATTGTAAGTGACAGAATCGGGGTGTTTTCCTGGAGTTGTACTTCACACCGCATTGGCAAATCACATTCAGAAGAATGGGATGAACCCGGCCAGTTGTTATAAAAATACCTACTTTCCTTTTCGGTGATGAGATCAGTGTTGCTTACCGACATTGAGTTTAGCCCCGGGAGTTTGAAGACCCTCTAGCGTCTGTTTCATTATCTTATCAACAGAAAGGTTTGATAACAGTGGAGACTGTGAGCATCGGTAATTGATCAAGTGGCTGTTGATCCGTTCGCCGAGCTTGGCAATTGATTTGCAAACGTTTCGTCACCATTCGAGGAGACATCTTCAGTGCGCTGTTGGTTGGACCACTGGTTGGGTCCGTTAGGCAAACAGCTGATTCGTTGAACAATTGGCTGCTCGCATTGCACGTGCCACACATACCGGTCAGCGAATGATAACGTTATCGTAGCAGTGTTGCCGTTTATCAGTGGTGACGTGCGAGTGAATAACTCATAGATTGAGAAATCCATAATTGTTGGGTTTTACAGTCTCGATGCCACGGCTTCCGAGAAGGCGACACCAGAGGGCGTGATTCCGACGAGCGAGGTTTCCGACAACAGAACTTAAGTTTGCGAAACTGATCGAAGCGGAGTATCAACCTCTGCGGAGAAATTGACTTTACTGCTTGGTTTTCATAAAGAAAACTACTCACAAGTTTGCTGAAAACTGACGGAAACTCGGGGACTGCGTCTACCTGATGAGCCCCAAGAAGGGCGAAACCGATCGTGGGCTGTCGAAGAGTTTTCAGCAACCTTGTGAGTAGTTTCCATTATGAAAATACACTGCGATATCTCTAATATCGTGCCAGCTGAATCATGAGGCGGCCTGTGTGCAGCACATTCAGTTGTATATTATCATAAACGAGAGATTCAGTTGAGTCTCACGTGAAAACCAAATTGATTTGCAAATGAGTGTATTTCTCGAGTACACAAGACTGTTTCACCTGTAGGTCACATCTGAGCTGTTGCTCATCCTTAAGTACGAGTATAACGACCACTATCTCAGCATCTACCCGAACAAAACTACATGCATTGTGTCCCAGGCAGCGCACATACGGGGTAGGTGGTTATATTCGGATGACAATGTAGGACCATATACCACCAGATTCCTGAAACGTAATGGACTGTCAACCCGATGACAGATGTCGTTGGCTTCCCTGATGCGGCACCAAGTGTAGAAATCTGCTAAAGTGTAGAACAGTTTGTCATGTTTTCTTGGGGAGGCAGTATAAATCAAAAGATTCAAAACGTGAGTGAATTGTTTCAGAGAGGTTTGGTAAACAATCGGTGGATGTATTGCTGGGAAACGTTTCGCTTTTGAAGCAAAAGCCTCCTCAAGTCAATCGAGTAACTAAGCAGGTTGGTCGGGCTTTAAGGCAGTCAAGAAAACAATCCGTGAGACTTCTTATGACTAGCCGACTTGATCAGCGCTGAGTGTCGGTCTCATGATCGATCGACGCTATTGGAGGCGAACTGGGAGAACGATCTCGTCTTGAACATCAGATGTGTCAAACATAACATTATTCCCAAATCTCTGGATGTCAAGCCACCAGAAGTCTCCCACTTCTGCCCTAATTGCTTACTCATCCCTCAAACAGAGGATCTTGTTGGGGATATCAATATCCCCCAAAAAACGCTGTATTTTTATGTGTGCTAGCGAACTTCCGGCATCTTCAAGGTCAAACTATGAATAAATCAATGGCCTATTGATATTCCAAGAAATTCAAATCCGACCACTTACTTACAGGATGCCACTTTTTTAATGACTTGGGTTCGGAAGCTCGGGGCATCGCCTGTTGATCGCGTGTTTTTGGATCATTAAAGTTTGTGTCCGAGGTTTTTCGTCTTCTTACTATCCGCCGTGCTAGGAGTCTGGATCAAGCAACATAGCTGGGGATAGAGTATTGCCACAATCCGCATATCCTATTGTTCGGTCGCTGCGTGACCAAACCGTAACAGATCTATTTAGCCACCCAACGTCTAACTTATATCCACCACCGCGCAAGTCGTCTGAACCATGATCTTCAGTTCGCACTCTCGCCTGCTGAATTCGAATTACTAGATAGCAAAGTGAAGGAATTAAAATTAGCTCAAGGTGAACAGTGCAAGGAAAAACAAATACCTAAGTCCGAGAAATTGTTTTCCACTACTCGCTGTTCTAGTAGCACAAGAGAAAAGAGTGAACCACCTGCTACCTATTGCAGGATGGTTAATTTATCAGACGGACCCTTAAGTGACGAAGAACGTCATCTTTAAAGAAGGGTTTTGAATTTCACAGTAATTAAAAGAGTCACAAAGGCAGAAGAGATCATTCCTGGTGTTAAATCTGTTTCAGAAGCTTTCTTCAATGAAAGCGGAGAAACTATGTGTATGGTTGGTCATAGTCCCGAAGTCCCACCAACAAGGGTTCCAAACATTTACCAGAAGAGCGAAGAGTCTTAAACAAATTAAAACACTTACACAGTATAGTAATTACAAAGGCGGATATAGGTAAGGTCGTGGTCGTCATGAATGAGTGACTATCTGCAGAAAGTTAGACAACACGTAGCTGATGGTCCTTACCGACAAATTAGTAACGGAACGATCACGTGAATCATGAATAACAGTAAAGTTGAAGTTGGGGGGTATCCAAGATCTGTGATAGACCATCTGGGACAAAGCATGTGGTGTTGATTGTACCCAAAAAGTGCAATCCAACCACGACTTTACGGGTTACCAAAAGTTCACAAGGAAGGTGTCCCCATAAGACTAATGGTGGATGGCATAGGTCCACCACCACATGAGCTGGCCAGATATCTAGCAGGTATCCTTAAACCACTTACCGGCAAGTCACCCACACACATCCAAGATTCACATGACTTTGCTAAAAAAAGTAGCTGGGTTTCAGATAGAGCCAGATGAAGTCCTGGCTAATTTTGACGTCAACTCAAGGTACACCAACGTTCCTAAAGCGGACACTGTGGAAGTAGCCAGAAGACTTTTACTGGCAGACAACGCTGCAAGAACGAACGCAACTCTCCGTAGACGAGATGGCTGAAGGCATAAAGCTATGCCTAAACCCAAGTCATTTTGTTTTTGACTCAATTATATACTCTCAAGAACAAGGTTTAGCGGTGGGATCACAGATATCGCCGATTTCGGCCAACATGTACATGGAAGATTTTGGGCAGAAAGCTTTAAACGGATTCGGGTGTCCACCAAGGGTGTTCTGGCGTTAAGTAGATGGCACGTTCGTTGTGATAAAGCGGGATAAGTTAACGATTTCTTTTTATATCTTAACACATTGGACCCTCACATTAAGTTTAGCATTGAGCTAGAGTCCACATCGGGTATACTACCTTTCCTTGACTGTATGACACAAGAGTGGTGGGAAATTAAAAACCACTACTTAACGGAAATCGACAGATAATGTCGCGGTCTTAAACTACTCCTCAGCACATCCAAAAGCAGTATGTGCTGGTATAGTTTCAACGATGTTTGGGAGAGTGTGCACTGTGCACAGAGGAGGTCGACCGAATAGCAACACAACGTGAGATAGAAAAATAGCGACTTCAAGATAGCGGATACTCAGTGGGTTTAAGTAAGCGGCAACTAAGACGGGTATTGGTATCAACACCGAGGCCCAACAAGAAGTGGATCGGAACAGCAGTCATTCTATACAAAATAGGGACATCTGAAGTCATTAGGAGGGTACTGAATACGGCTAACATTAGAGTAGCTTTCCAGAAGGGGTAAACTTTACGCTCGGCGTTGGTGCATTTGAAGGATCGCCTTCCGGTTGATAGGACTAGGAACTGCGTATACAATATAAAATGTAACGACTGTACGAAGGTTTATGCAGGTCAGACAGCCAGGGCATTGCACACCAGAATCGGTGAGCATAAGCGTTCCATTAATAGACCACCAAGAAACGTAGGTGAATGCCAGGCGATAGTCAAAGATTCAGCAGTGGCAGGGCATGCACTAAATACTGGGTATAGGATAGAGTTAGAAAATGTGTACATCCTGAAACGGGGTTTAAGGTTCACAACACAGAAACTGGTGGTCCGGGCGGTGGAAATCGCCAAGCATCCCAGCGTAAATAGAGTAGACGGGGTAGAACTTGCAAACGTGTGGAGAGCGGTCTTAGATCGGCCGATATGACACGAGGCGGTCTGGGTCTAAAAGTACAAAATCCAAGTAGAGTTAGATCCAATTAACCACCGACCCCCATCCCCAAACCAGTTGTCCTAGCACCCTTCGACGAACACAGGTGAACGAAATCTGTGGACGACCCCAAGAGGAATTTCCCATTAAGGCGTCCTAGACTGAAAATGCACGGACGAAAAAATCCCGGTTCAACATGAAGACGATTCCCGCCCTAACCAATCTGTCGTAAATCGTTGTCATCCCCACTAATTAACAACCAGACTGAACACCCAGCACTGATCAAGTCACTAGTCATAAGGAACCTCACGGATTGGTTCCCTGGCTGCCTTAAAACCCAATCAACCTACTTACTTACTCACTTGGCCTGACGAAGCTTTTGTGTCAAAGGCTGAACGTTGCCCATCAATAAATCCACCGATTGTTTACCAAACCTCTCTGAAAAGATAGCCTTTACAGCCTTTCAATACCTGACTCAGTGGTTCAAACAGATACAGCTGAATGCACACAGTACCCAAACTTATCAGATTCACTAGGTTCCAATGAATAACATTAATGAAGTAACTTTTGAGTAGGAGGTTAGAGGGCTCGAACGAACGTTCGCAGGGCAGCTGCTTAGCTCCTCAAACAGATCAAATGCCATAATAGATAGCCAACTGATGTGTGAGCAAGTAGCAAACACGTCGGAGCAAACTTTTACGTTTCTAGAGTTTGTAAGTTTACTGTGGTTCACGGGGTATTGCCTGTTGTGAAGGTTGGAACCGAAGTTACCGGGGAAGAATACCCTCATCTAATATAAATAGATCCATGCAGCATTTGTTGAAAGAGTAGCGACGTTCCAGTTGTGTAAATCAAACCAAGTGTACGATTTTGTTTGTACTTGGCTGTTTGACGCTGCCAGTGTACGGTGAAATATGCAAAGGAACGATCATGAAAAATCCGGAACTCAATTTGGGTTGGCCAGTTAAATTTGGGTTACTGAAGTCGACTTCCTCCTGCAGGAAAGTGGATTAAACAGGGCGAAATTTTCAAAAATATCCCAAATACCTACCTAAATTGAAAGCTACTTCACTGGAGTGTGTGCTACATTTTTCTCTAATATGGCGAATTCATAAGGCCGACCGGTATTTTAAAAAAAACTTTACTCAGTCAATCGGATTTTCGAAGGTAGTGCTGCACATGCACCAAACCAGTTTTTAGTTTTTTTTCCCGAATGATTGATACCGTTATGGATGTGTTGATGCCTGTGAATGCAGGAAGAAAGCTGCTACCCTTTAGCATTTTTGCTGTAACCGGTAAATTGTCAACATTTTGGCTATATGGATGAAGCATGGAAAGACGATTCCAATCAAAGCGACTAAGGCATTGTCTGTATTGATTTTGCTACCATGAGTGGGCCACACATTGGAAACTAAAGTTCAGCAGTTGGAATATCTTGTGGCTTGGTTGATATGCAGTTTCCCATACGCACCGTTCGAGAACGTGATGACTTGTCAGCCTGACTGGTAACGTGTTTAGACGTTGTCAGCTGACTGAACGACTTAACACACCCGGTCACCCCTGTCAACAATCTTCTTTCAGCCACCAGGCCTCCTCAGTTATACTTCAAAATCCGTTTGACCTTTTTTCAGTGTCAAGAAGCTATTTGGCCAAATCTCCGTTACTAGCTGATAACTCCAAGCTGGTATTTACTGAAGTCCACATGCTTTGGAGCACGCCTTGCGAAAAACAGCTCAACCCTCGGTAGTGCTGACATGCACCAAACCAGTTTTTAGTTTTTTTTCCCGAATGATTGATACCGTTATGGATGTGTTGATGCCTGTGAATGCAGGGAGAAAGCTGCTACCCTTTAGCATTTTTGCTGTAACCGGTAAATTGTCAACATTTTGGCTATATGGATGAAGCATGGAAAGACGATTCCAATCAAAGCGACTAAGGCATTGTCTGTATTGATTTTGCTACCATGAGTGGGCCACACATTGGAAACTAAAGTTCAGCAGTTGGAATATCTTGTGGCTTGGTTGATATGCAGTTTCCCATACGCACCGTTCGAGAACGTGATGACTTGTCAGCCTGACTGGTAACGTGTTTAGACGTTGTCAGCTGACTGAACGACTTAACACACCCGGTCACCCCTGTCAACAATCTTCTTTCAGCCACCAGGCCTCCTCAGTTATACTTCAAAATCCGTTTGACCTTTTTTCAGTGTCAAGAAGCTATTTGGCCAAATCTCCGTTACTAGCTGATAACTCCAAGCTGGTATTTACTGAAGTCCACATGCTTTGGAGCACGCCTTGCGAAAAACAGCTCAACCCTCCTCAGAATCTACGACATGACTGTCACTGCGTCACGGGTGATTAGCATATTTCATAGCGTGTTATCACCACTATGACAGTGGAATAACAAAATTTTGCGACTTGTGCCTTCACAGTGAGTAAATGCTCGGCGTGCAATTCTCAAGCTGTGGTAATTCCAACGGAAATAACCTCTGCCGAATACCAAGATATTTCCTCATCAGGACATTTACTCCTAAGAGGAATGGATAACAAAATGTGTTGCACATATTCTTAACAGAAGAAGTGAAATTTTATTGTTCTAAATGGCTTTTGATATTAAGGGGCTGACAGTTTCAATTTGACTGGACTGACTGGACCCGATTATTACATAATGTGTTTGAAACACACCAATTCAACCTGCACTCGTCATCCTCTCAGCTAAATCGGATAACTGGTACACAAAAGACTGCTTCACCGCACGCCATTTTTGACAACCAACAATGTATTTGATTTAGAGCGTGGACTGTCAGCCTTGCTGCATTCCAGCTGCGACGGTGCCATTTACCTTTTGGAGCCAAATTACTGTCTGATCCAAGCTAATTTCGATCGTAGACTGTCAGTTGATGTTAACCAGCGACGCTTATTCAGTCAACCACTAGACGTGACAGCCGACAAGTAAGTAGAGGACTGACATGAAGCATGCCCGTTTTGCTAATTTTTCAGAAAACCAGAAAGCATCACCTACTCGGACGACGATGCAATGAATACTTTGCGGCTTGCATTATCTCCTCGAGTCATAGTTTGCCTCCTACAAAGGTCCAGCTTATCTTATTTGATTAGGCACAACTTTTACATTGCTTCTATCTTGTCCTAGTCAGTAACCTTCATCAGTTTAAGCAGTATAATAAAACCGAAAGCAAGTAGGTCATAAGGTTGACGGAAACTCGGGGACTGCTCCTACCTGGTGAGCCCCAAGAGGGGCGAAACCAGTCGTGGGCTGTCGAAGAGTTTTCAGCAACCTTGTGAGTAGCTTCTTTTATGAAAAAAAACCGAAAGCAGTTTTTTAATTTAACAGTACACCAATTGTTGCCGTGATGCGTTTTAATACGGTAAAAATCATAAAAAACACATACACCGGATATATATTAAGAGGAAATCGGTCTTATTGACTGCACTACGATTTGTTGAAGTACATTTAAAATTAAAATAAAAGCATGCACAAGTTCTGCTGCCAGTTGGACTTTGCTCCAACTCTCAGCTTGCGAAGAACAATATTAGGGTTCAGTGCCAATGAATTCATTTCAGAGTGCGAAACCAGTATTCAAGTTGGTACATATAAGTTGTCTTCTGTAGCTACCCCGTCGCCTACACACTTGACTATTCAGCTCACCGTCTCCCACTGGATCACAAGACTTGTCTTTTCTCATACTCGCAAACCACGTCACGTTAAGGTGACTCATCGGACATCGATTGTCGGTACCGTCTAGTGAGCGTAGCAACAACTCATGTGCTAACACACCCACTTACACGCAAACGGACCTACATATAGAGAAACCGAACACAGTCGACACACAGACTCGCGCGCGCAGGGATTTAACCGCTCTCCACAGTCCACGGACAAATATGGAATACGTGTAGCAGCCGTACTGCGGAGAAAGCACGTTCCCGCCGTCCGGACTTTCACGAAGGAACTCTCACAGACGATAAGTTCCTTTTTTGACTTGCTCCCATTTCGCATTGTATTGTTGCAACCCACCACTGTCAACCATGCTTAAAACTTCTATTAGTGCATACACCTGATCTGTATTATGGCCATCCTCAGCCGTTCACTAATAGGGATAGAGGTATCACGTGGACTCAATTATTAGAGCGAGTTAAAAAAGGAACTTATCGTCTGTGAGAGTTCCTTCGTGAAAGTCCGGACGGCGGGAACGTGCTTTCTCCGCAGTACGGCTGCTACACGTATTCCATATTTGTCCGTGGACTGTGGAGAGCGGTTAAATCCCTGCGCGCGCGAGTCTGTGTGTCGACTGTGTTCGGTTTCTCTATATGTAGGTCCGTTTGCGTGTAAGTGGGTGTGTTAGCACATGAGTTGTTGCTACGCTCACTAGACGGTACCGACAATCGATGTCCGATGAGTCACCTTAACGTGACGTGGTTTGCGAGTATGAGAAAAGACAAGTCTTGTGATCCAGTGGGCGACGGTGAGCTGAACAGTCAAGTGTGTGGGTGACTGGGTAGCCACACTTCAAAATGAGTGTCACAGCCTCACATCCACAGATGAAACCCAAAGATGTGTGATAATCAAGACCAAACCCGAAAGATTGTGGACATACATCTCTGAATTTTGCGGAGAAACAATATGGAAGTTGTTTCCTATCAATAGTCGTCAGGTTACAGGTAGCACTCAGGCGCAAGAAATGTTCGTTGCCTGCAAATCCTTCATCGTAATCCCAATGGGTTCCAGCAATAGATTGACCTCCCGGGTTGCCTTGTCCCGCCACAGCCTACCAATTCGGGCTCTTAACTCCACTTTATGATTCTATTTTTCCTCTGTGTTCTATGACAAGATTTGTTCAGTTTGGAGCTCTAAGCAGCCACAGATTATTGGATAAGCTGCGGTGATGAACAGGCATCTGAGTTTCGGGTTTTACATCAGTTTACGCCGAGAGGTGCAAATTTGTCACTTTTGAGTTGAATCGATACAAGCTAATTCGACAAATTTGCTGAGTGTAATACTGGCTCAACTTGGCCTGACAAAAACCATGTGACAACATGAGGAAAGGCGCAACCGGTGTGTGTGTGTGTGTGTGATTGTGACTACCAGATTTTGGATGGGGTTAGGAGCGAACGGCGACAATAAAGGATGCTTTTTAAGAGTACACACTGCTCCGAACAGTGGAGTGATATTTGAAGGCGTTTGTGTGCAAGAAAATAAAAAGAAACTGATGCCGTAATCGAAAGCCGTGGAAATCGAATGCTATTGACTTATGCTATTGGCTTATGTTTCTTGCAACCGAAATGCTGAACAGAATTGCAAGTATACATACACCATCAATACTGTGTAATTTATGTGCACGATATTAGCGAAAGTTCCCTTCATTCAAAAGTGGTTTCCGACTGGGTACGCTCAGGTACGGGTCGCACATTATCGATAACTGTACTGAACGAACAACCAGGCTCACTTCCATTCGAATCGCACATCACGTCTTCCAGCTCGCTGGTCCATTGCCAAACAAACCGGTTCACCTTGTCCTGTGGACATTTTAATCGGCGGCTGTGACAGTATCAGCTTTGTTTTGCAACACCCACAGATTACTTTTCTCACTGGCAGTCTAACTAATACAGTGGGCGGGAAAAACGTGTATTCCTGAGTCTCCCCCAGCTTTCATGCAACCCCGCGCGAACCAGGCAACACATGTTATCACTCGACCTTGACACACTTGGCCATGACACAGTGAGATGGTTAGCTGGTTATCTCAAGCGCTGGTCGGTCATTTACATGCAATAAAAAGGAAAAGTCGAGTGCCGTATCATGGAAAGAATATCACTGTACCAGTTCAACTGTCTTTCAAATGAAATGGCATCATTATACTACCGGAATCGATGAGATTAGATTGAGTAAATTGATTTTTTCTGAGGAAATCGCGCACCGTAGTATGTCGAGTCTGATGATGCCAAACCTCGTTTATTCTGTGCTGTTAGTCATACTGCGTATAGCTTAAAGTCAACACCATTAACTCTTTTAGTTATGCCGTGCGAGCTAAAGACTGCTATGCTCTAACGACTTCCAATCTGACCTAAATCAGTTCGATTGTTCTTTAGTTGTTACCGGTGCTTAGGCTCAAATCAGAAAAAAAATCTCTGAAGCTCACGGCACCCCAGCTTTGTCTTGGAAAACCACAATTTCAGTTCACAAATTGTCCATGTATTTCTATTGGGAAAATCCAGGAGTAAGAAATAGTGGCACTATAGTTTCAGGAACTTGTTCGAGTGTAACAAGTATGGTCAACCGAGCCATTTACCCTGGATGTTGTCAATAAGGAAGAAGCATATACAGATCACTGGCAAGTTCTTTTGGCATAGAGCTGAGTAATTAGCTGATAAGTATGGAATAAATCGGTTTGAAGCCAGTGCTGAGTGGCGTAATATCAGTCCCCGACCTCTTAGCAGTAAAGCAGCTTAGGTAGCCCCCAGTATAGTTCCCAGCTGGCCTAGTTGTGTTGCATCCGTTCCTCAATGATACAAATAAGTAAAATATAGTCAACAGACTGGCTTATTTCTTTGTACACAGCCTTCGCCAAAGGTTGCGTAGAAGGCCGAACATCGCACAAGTATCTCAGCGTTGTAATGACACCAGGGAAATACGAACACCATTCTCTCCAATGTGAATCAGTTAGAGCTGGGCGTACTGTACACTGGTAAGGCATGGAAGAGAAAGAATTTGCTTTGGAAACCTATTATTCTCGTGACATGACAGAAGGGAAGAGCTCTGATGTTACTAGATACCTGCATCGGACATCCACCCATTCAGCTAAACACCGTTAACCAAGCGTTTCTGGCTCCAACAACCTCGCTTTCGTTGATCTGTATATGTGGTGTGCATGTGCATGTTGGGTTTTGTGGTTGCCACAAGCTGGCTAAATAAGTTTAATTTGAAAAATCTCCTTAGCAGTAGTTTCAAACAGGAACAATTGTTTGTTGAACTCAGTGGTGAGGTTGCTAAGGATAACATGTCAAAAAATCTTTGGCTTTATTCTGATCCTCCTATACTAATACAAATTGGCCTTTAGGTTAAAAGACAAACGTCTGCATGTGAAACATGATCAAATGGTCGCAAAAGAACGCAAGAGCCGTCGAATCGTGCTTGTAAAATGATGAGTCGTAAGCCTCTGCCTTCCGGTGTAAAACGGAGGTGGCATAACCCAGAAATTTAATCTAAAGTGTTTATCTGTGCATCCCAACACCCTGTGCAATTCACACCTTACAAATGGGATTATTCCATTTATCTACGTGTCCCTTGCTAAGGAGTTTCTTCCCATTTTTAACTGGAGGTTTATCATGAACTAGCTGACCAAATAGACCTGCGATAGTGTACGCAAGTATGCAATAAATGACGTGCTATATGCAATGTGTACGCTGTATAAAGGTAGCGAGAATATTGGGTTGGCCATCTATTAAAATGCAAGTAGTGTAAACATTGACGCGGGATTATCGCATTTCCACGCATATCTTGCTGAGCGCTTACGTTATGGATAGGGAATGGCAGGCGAACGTTGCTATTGAAGGTCTCTGACGTCTATAAGAATTACATGGCTCGTGTATCTGGATGTTTTATTCCGCCTGTATCCGAACGTCTCTCTTTGTGACCACATTAGATCGGTGGTTGCCACACCCACACAACCCAAATGTGATTGAAACAATAAAAAATAATCGTTCAGTTGTTCCACCCTTTTGGGCACAGTCCAGTTCACATGTGTTCTTTACCAGCGAGCAGAAGTAATTTATAGGATACGACGAACAAAAACCCAGTGAGAATATCTGACCCGACTATGGGTGTTTGAAGACGTGTTCTTTTTCGCAATCGATAATTGCCGTAATCATTAATCTTGGTGTCCTGGTAAATGGCAGGTTCGGTGAGTTGTTAGGATATGGTTTTTCAACTTGGCTTCTCGTCATCAAATAGAGTGGAAGTGTAAACCCAAAGGGCGACTTTCGGGTGTACATTTTTTTGCAAAGATGCTCCAAGTCTCACCACACGTTGACCCGGTTCTGAACCAGATAGCTGGACTTTTCAAGGTCGGAAACGGGATTGGATACTGTGTTAATCGATTTTACTTACGCCGTACGTTAAACCAATCAACGGTTAGAGAAGCAATGCGCACGTATCGCCAGGCCGTCTGCCGAGCAGCCGACCGATTGGAATGTAGAACTGCTGGAATCTGTTTGGATAGCACGGTACAACCAGGGTTGGGTCGCCATACAAATGCATTAAAGCAGATCTATTCCGTCAAGTGGATCGCCTTTCTAAGCTACATTTTTGATGGACACATCGACTTTGTAACCATCAGTGTAGCTGTCTGATATGGGTAGTAAAGATAATGTGCAGTTGCATATCTTACATTTCAATGATGTTTATAACGTGGAGGGACAGTCCACGGAACCGGTAGCTGGTGCAGCGCGATTTCACAGTGCCCTGAAGGCACATGGAGCAGAAGATAAGAGCATCGTACTCTTCTCCGGAGATGCACTTAGTCCGTCAATGATAAGCAGCATCACACAAGGGCGACATGTTCCCCCCATTTTGAATGACCTATTTGTTAGATGCGCAGTCTTAGGAAACCACGACTTGGATTTTGGCTTGGATATACTCTGTGAGTGTATAGAGGAGTCGAACTTTCCTTGGTTGAATACAAACGTTCTTGATCGCGACACAAACTCCCCGTTGGCGGGATTGCCAACATATCACATCATCGAACATGCGGGGCTGCGCATTGGACTAATAGGACTACTTGAAGAGGAGTGGGTGGCGACACTATCCTGCGTCGATGCTGAGGATCTGGAGGTTTTAGATATCTGTGAAGCTGCACGATCCTGGACACAAAAACTGAAACAGCCTGGCCCCGAATCGTGTGATTTGGTGATTGCGTTGACTCATATGCGCTGGCCCAATGATCGAAAGTTGGCAGCCGGTGTCCCGGAAATAGACTTGATTTTAGGAGGTCACGATCATGATTACGTAACTGAGTGGTTGGATGAACCTGGAAAACCTGTTCGCACAAGGGCGATTCTGAAAAGCGGCACAGACTATCGGAGTTTTTCTCACATAAGACTGACATTCGACAAACAGGCCAAAATTGTTTCAGAACTGACTGTTGAGGAAGTTATAGTGGATAGCCGTTGGGAAATAAATGAAAAGGTGAGTGTCGACACGGTTTTATAGCGCTTCTGCCCACTACTTTACTGAAGGTGCTCAAGAGGTTTATAGTTTTGACAGTTGATCCCAGCACGAGAAGAAACTGGTATCCAAAACTTTAATTGATTTTTGTCTTTTCTGGACAGAACCCTACTTAATTTACACCTCTCAGTGCTGGTTATAGGCAGGCAGACTTCCATTAGCCGCTTAAAAGCAACAGTAACTGTACGGTCTGCCAGTATAATTCACTAGTGTTCTTATTATGTCCACCTTACCATTTCGGTTTCCCCAAGCTGCACTTAGCTGATTTCGATGCATTGATTTAGCAAGCATTTTTATTCCACATCCCACGTAGCTAGATAGTCGATGCTGCTGATTGTCTGCATGGGGCTGGTGGTGTCCTAACGGTGAACAGTTTTTCTGTTGGCCGACGAAAACTAGCTGGGTGGTCTGAGTCTGCACATGGGCTCCAAAAAGCGAGTCTTGAACATAAGGCAATTCCAGACTAGGTAACCGTTCAGTTGTGATACCCTTTTGGTGCCAAGCTACCCTGTTGCCCGTATGAAGCACGAGGACCGGGATACTGCCAAGTTGCCAAAGCCTTGACAGTCTAGATGCATTCTAGATGCCGTTGGGCGATCGACCTGAGTGCACGGCTTGCATTTGCTGAGCTTATGTTTGCAATCGACGCACAGTCATTTGGAACAACAACCAGTTTCGTGTCTGCCGACGAGGTGACTTCGAGTCTAACGACACTTTCCCCTGGGCGTTCAAGGCCGAGATGTAGACATTTCATAAAAGGCGTATTTGGCATTCTCACTGCCACGGTATGTCCAAACACAGGCACAAATAAACAGATTTTGGATTTCGGTCGTTGATTCAAGTAAATTCCGCCAGTATAACTACACAATCGGTTCATCACAGAAAATCTCATTTCACTGCGGTCCTCCTGATAGGAATGTGGAGTTTTCAATGTCAACCTTTTCTCACCCCTCCTTTGGGGAACAACATCATTGTTGTTTCTATAGTTATGGAAATCTGTTTCCTTAGAGAAAACGCCCCAGTGCCTTTACCATCTTACCGAGTACGACAGTATAACTTCTCACAATAAGCTTACGCATAATATGGCTACCCTCTGCTTTCAACCACCCTCGTGACGTGGTTGAATACTGAGGAATAAAGTTCCGTCTAGTGAAGTTCGCAGCACTCAGCCTGTTTTCCTCAAGTTCAACGAGCGCACCAATGCAGCGGTTCGTCATCGGGAAATACTTAACAGTAAACCGAGTGATCATTACAGCCGCGAAAGTACCATTGTGGCTTCCCATTTTGAAGATTCAATTATCTTTAAAAATAACCCAAACACACTTTTCTGTAAGGAGACCACAGCGGTAGTCGGATCGTTTTTTACTGTTCCATTTATGCAGACATGCATAATAGCACGTAACTCATCAAAGTGGCGCTGCTGGACCAACTTTGCGCATAGGAACACAACTGAGCGGTAGTTCAGTATGTAACTCTTAAATTGCTCAAGTTACACCACAGCTACGGGACCAGCCTCTTGAACGAAACGGTATCAACAAGGTTCACATAACGAGGTAATGCGTTAATAAAATACACCGTTTAGATTTCACAGACAGTGGTAAAATATTTCTCCTCGCGTTTTGTGTTTGCTGATAAATAGAAGCTTAGGGAAAGACGCCCCATGCAATACTGAACAGTTAGTGGAATTCGTCAGGAATGTACATGGACGGCACAATCTTTGCCTCAACTTCAACAATATCGACCCCAAACTTTCTTTTGATATAGACTAATTGAATCACAAATTGTACGAAGGTCAGTGGTATGGTTGCCGAAAGCTGCATTTTCCGTCCTGACATTTGCAGCCAGGCTGGGCCAGTCAGTACAGTCACGATACAGCCAATAGCTTTCACTTCAATGTTCTTGTGCTTCGAACATGGTCATAGACAAATGCTGCCCCACATCACCAAACGGCGATTCAGAAAAGTAACTATCAGCTGTTATGATGTTAGTCTATTGATTCAGTATGACAAGGCGTGTGTGCACACGCTCTGTTTCTGAAGTTTTCTCTAGTTCACTTGAGCCACCTGATTTTCGTGCACCATTTCCAAATCTCAGTATCTTTGCGCGTCAACCGACCGACGGATTCTAACGTGTTCACTTCCTGCACAAAGGATCTGTTCTCAGAAAAATTCGGAGAGACATTGGTAATTCGAAGTTGAAACGCGTCAGAAAGTTGAACGTAAGATTCTTTCGAAGACTGAGACTCGACTAGTTTTGGGAAACACCAAAGCGTGTGTTAATTGGTTAGTGCTAATCGGAGGAAGAGGACTAACGTTTCTTAAAATTAGGGCCAGTAGAAACGGTTATTTGGATTGCTGTTGTACTGAGATTTGGAAGCTACCTTGACTTACGGTTGACACTGATCCGAGCGCAGTCGAATAAGATGCAACCATTTCTGCTGGCGTTGTATTTTACATGGGCACGCAAACCGAATTCGTAACCCGACAAAAGGAGAAGAGAGGACGATTCTCATTTTTAACTAATGTTGGTCGATCAGAATCTCAACTTGGAACTCACAAGAAGTACTTCGTGGACTACAGAATCTTCGGTGATGTGCAGATGCGATCTGGTTCACCAATAGACACGCAACCATAAACGATGACCATCGATACCACTAATATAGTTGGCCCTTTAGCACGGCATTATTGATTATCCACTCCTATGGTAGCCGTTTGCTCACCATCAACCTCAAACGGAAAGTATAACTCCATGATTCTCGCATGTTGATTTATTCATTCGTTTATGACTGTACAGCAAACTGTATGAGTCTATTGGCAGAATGTCTGTCGGTAAGAATGACAACGCAAACCAGTTTGTTTGGGGCAACTAACCTATTTAGCTAATTGAGTTGTCTGATGCAGCCTGATTTATTTAAATGAACCAAAAGTGTTCTACGACTACAATCGTCTGGATGAGTAACCCAGTCGCTTGTTCCTAAAGTCGATGCGTATCAGCGGTGACTTCAAATCAACCTTTAATTGGCCACTTTGTAACCACTCCTCATTACTCTTCCTGGCCGTTCCCTGGCCAGTTTCAGCCTTCCTCTCGAATTAGTTTTGCCTGATTATTGCAGTTTGCTGGCTGTGCTTCTATGCTTTACTTCAGGGTTTAACGGTGGATTGCCAGTCCCGTGTGGCCTCGCCGAACTTTTTATGTAGGGTGACGTCTTCCACGCATAGTATAGGTAGGTAAAGTTCACTCATCCAAGGGTTTCGTATGTACTCTTGTCAAAGTTTTTTTCCCTTTAGTCATCTTAGCTTCATGCTTTGTAGTCAGTTATGAAGCAAATGTGTCAGACCAGACTGCCGGCTCTTCCTAGGTATAATCACCAACGCAGTGTACTTCCACACCCACATCAACTCAAAGCAACCTTTACAATGACTAGACCGTGGAACAGTGATGACGTTGTCACTCAGGCTAATAGGCCTTTTTCTGTTTTTTTTTTCGGAGGGAGCTAGCGTAAACTTGATGTTTCGCCAATAGGGTAATCTCAGCTTTGATGTTTCGCCAATAGGGTAATCTCAGCTTCTTGTCCAGTATATGTTTTGGAAACGGCAGTATTTAGAACTACCTACCATCTCTGCCGCCTACGCGGATTCCAGTCACTGGAATTGCTGACGCGTATTAGCTGAGAAGCGGCTACTGAACTAAGCATATGTGTTGTTGGCGGCCGTTGGAGCGGAGTTACATCCTGTAACAGTGGTTGGCTTAGCGGGCTGTATGGTAGCATTTCACAGAAGGGATTCCCGGATTCGGAAGGTTCGATAGTGTTGTTTCCTGGAGGATTTGTCTCCACGAGGAGCACTCCTAACATATGCTATTGCAGCATTTTCGTCCTCACAAATGTCCACCGACCTCAAATGAGATATAACGCATTCGTAAACAGTCAGCGACCCAAGAGAGAATTTTCCGGCAACAAAATAGGCTCGTCTATGCCAATGTAATTAGTACATCAGGGCGTTTACTTTGACCGAATATACTTTGACCAAATAGCAGAAAGTGACTGTACTGATGACTTGAATTATGTTCATTAAGCATTTGAAAAGCTGATAAACACTTGTCTATTTAGACAAATGCTTTTTCTCTACACTGAACAGTTTTGGAAATCAGCGAGCTATCTGTAGCGAAACGGATAGTGGCATGGGCATTTCTTGTACAGTATACGGTTTTATTTACGGTATATGTGTAGAGCAACTCCTATCTGATTCTACCCTCGTACCATTTGACTATTATATAAGGTCGAGATGGACCAAGTGGTTAGAGCGCGAATTTACTGACCGGAAGGTCTGTGGTTCGAACCCGACCCCTGCCTCTCGACTTCCTCTGTCTAGGCTTGGGCAACCTGGCAGTGTCCCAGCCCTCGTGCCTCCTTCGTGTGGCATGGCAGCTAGGCACCGAAAGGGTACTACAGTTGAACGATTATTTATTTTCATATTAGATAAGGTCTGAAGTATGCTTTAAAATGCCATACAAATGATATCAAAATATAGGTACAGTTGAACATTATTTATTTTCATATTAGATAAGGTCTGAAGTATGCTTTAAAATGCCATACAAATGATATCAAAATATAGGTGCAGTGGCAACTTGTAGTTTATGGTACATAAGATGGTAAGGCTGACTAATATTCGTTGACAGTGCAGTACCGGATTTATTGTGTTTATCGTTCACCGCTTAGATGGGTCGTGAATTTCGATCAGCCTATTTGATGCCACTATATTTTTACACATATATTTATAACTCGGAAGTCAACTTGATGCTGATAAGGGTTGCAGAGAAATTCGAATGAATCCCTTGTTTTTTGAATCCAGATGTAAACTATGGGCTGCACAGTCATAATCGGCTGAGTAATTTGGAACTACATCAGTCTGTCGTCTACATAAGTTTAGTACACAATTGAGACAAAATAAGCGTAAGCTGTTTGTAAATCGCCTTAGCTGCGACCGTAAACTTACTATATGGCTAGCTAAAGACAGTCACACAATACTGTCATCACACACAGTTTTTCTCAGAAATATACCCCAAGCAATGTACTTTCATCGTACTGAAGATGAAACTTGTGTACGTAAGAGTAATTTTTCGATGTTATTTATGGTGATCCGTCCTTAAAGTACACACTAGAAGTCACGAGTATCGGTAACGAATTGCGTATCCGCTTATCAGAGTCAGAAGTAAGACGGTTATTTATTGCCTTACTATTAACATGGAGAATAAATGGGGATGTTGCTGGAAGGCATCACGTGTACCACTTTTGCTTCACGCCAGAAGCTGCGAGCTGATTGCTAGAGACCATCAGTGTTTGGTTGTTGATTTTTCTGGAACATCTTTGTTGGAAACAGCAATGTAGCATTGAACAATAGAAGTGCACAAATAGTTTATGGTTTACAGGGGTAAAGCCATGTATTTTACACACCTGAATAGTCTCTGATTTACTCGTTCATTTTGAAACTTTACTGAAGCTACGACAACAACGTGTTGTGGTTGTTGAAAAATAAGCGAGAAATTGGCAAAGCTCAGTGAGCAAACCGAAGACCCTGTATGGTGAGCTGACATCCGTTTCTGATTCGACCCGTCACATAAAAGCACCCCGATGGACACCCTCGCACAATGAGCAATGTCATATGCGTTTGCACTGAGCATCCCACTGAACGCCCTGTACCCGTCATAAGTCAAAGAAAATGTAACCTGAGGGTGAACAGCGGTGATTGTTTCTAAAGCCAACAGTATACTTATAGTTGTCAATTCAGCTGAACGAAAAAGGATCATCTGATGGTCTCCATCACTCAGGAGTCGCGTTCTGGGCGTGCACATACGGCTAGCTAGTGATAATCAACATTCACCTGGGTTTGTACGACTACGGTCACAGAAAGCCACTAGCATTGCTGTACGCTTGATGCTCTGGATGATTCATGGTTTTGCTGACACCGGAACCCTGTCAGTTGAACCCAATAGTGTCCGCTTCTTATAACCCGGGGACTCATAAATCAAACCCAGAATTCATCCACATGGCGTTCCGTAGGTTCGACTTAGATAGACTAATCACACCGAATTGCATGTGTAAGGTATTAAGGTATGTTTTTGTCTGTAAGTTGATATTCACAGAAAATTATTTATACCAACATACGGGACCTAGCTATATGGCATCATCAGGAGCTAAGACTGCTCTAGTAAACCTACTTTATCTCGAAGATCCACACGTACAGCAAGCTACTATACAGAATCGACAGCGCTTATGAAGCAATCAGATGGAAAGTGACGACTTCAATCAGAAGAGCTTTCAATGCCACTCAATTAAAGATCCACTTTACCAGTGATCGGTTGCCCAGCACGAATATCAAGGATAAGGTGCTGATCCACGACACTTCTGTGATAATGTATTCATTCTTCTGTGAATTTTACTTAGTCGACGTCGGCTGAACGAATTGTTGAGCACATACCGTCAGGCAATGAAACTGGACAAGGGTAACGTGAATGCAGCTCACCTCATTGGTACAAACCACCCAATCTGGTTGAGTCGTTGAGCATGGTGAATCGAATGCCGCCAAATCGTTCCAAGTCGAACAACCACAGTTCTTAAGCTTTACAGACGCTTTATAGCCGAGGCTGAAAATATTCTGATCGTGTACTCCACAACTGCACTGGCAGTCGATACTGTGTTGAACATACTTTTTCGCGCGACCCGTTTTCACATAGTTACGTGGCGAAATTGAACAGGCTTAAAATAAACCACAGTGCATCTTGCGCCGAAATCATAACGTTGCCTTTCTGTTGAAAATCATGGATGTCTCTGGGAGTCAAGGGAACCCCTGTTCCCTCTCACCCGGACTTAGTTGGGTTTGATCAAGGCAGTGTCATTACATCGACTGCCAATGAGATTCATAAAATGAAAGAAGAGGGAAAGTGGTCCGTAGAGTCCATTTAGCTGCTTTATATTATCTGTCGATCCAGGGTCGTACATGTCAGGAGTTGTGTTCAGTAGAGTTGAAAGCCACATGCAGGGAAAATAACGCACGGTAGGGATTCTTTCAGACACTTTTAGGTGAGTAAAGGTCGCCAAGCTTAAACATACAAACAATGAGATGCACCTGACGTTTTTAGTTTTCTGTCGAATCTGAAGGTAAGCTCTTCTTTTATCTGGTCTCCCAATGATTATGAATGGGCTTAATGTTAATCGTAAACAAACTGTCTAACCCGACGGCATCACTGGATTCCTGTTGATAACGGTTGTTCGAAAACACCATGAAAAACTAATTCCTGCTCACCTAACGACACCCGCGTTACATGAGTTAAAATTGTTTGTATCCTTTGTATGCTTTACAATGTATGCAACTTTCTCCCAAATTTTATTCCTCAGAATTAGTATTTTCGAATCGTCAGAAATCACTGTCAGAATCATTGGATTTTGGCATGTGGTTTGGTCAACCGAACTGAACTCTCTCTATCATGACTGGTTCGTTCAAACACATGATGCAGTTTTAACCACATATCACTTGTTTATACTGTCACTGAATCCTATGAATACTCATGTAGGTCTACATGGTTACGTTGGAATTGGTGCGAATTTTGAACAAGCTTGCGTATGTTTTCTCCAACAGGCTCCGAGGCATCTCTTTTAGTACATATAATCCCGCATCTAAGGCACAAGCATTTTTAGGTTCCTTGCATATTTGTGGTACATCGAATGGAACGTGTTCTGTCGCTCAGGATGTTTTCCTTGAAAAATCTGTCCATCTCCTCGTTGACACTGGCTAACGTACTCAGGGTTGGTATAATGATTACTCCGTCATTTTCTCGTTGAATTTTTACTTGTTACAGGCTTCATTCAATGAAACAACTTGAGCCCAAATTTTTTGCGTGTTGAGTGGCATCGGTTAGGTACTTCAGGATGAAGTCCAAGTCAGATTTTAGTTAATCGAGCCATTAGCTCTCGACGCTGGATGCCGTTGCTTTCTCATTTAATATACGTCACATGAACAGTGAAATTCACTTCCTCAAACGAGATATCTCCATGGGAAGGTCAGCCTCTTGAAAGGCACATAAAAGCAGTTCCCACTGGGATTGTCCATGTGTGCGGTCACTCCGAAACTAGGCCATTTATAGTAGAGGCTTGTTACTATCTTCCCGTCCAGCGGCCGGTCATTGGAAATGTTTTTATATCACAGATATGATATGAGTGGGCTTAGTGAATGAGCACTAGCGAACAAATATCACTGGGAAGAACTCTGATATCACCATCTTGCGAAATCCGGGATCTGTTTTGATACATGTGTAAGCATTTTGACTTCAATGGAAATTTTCCCCCCTAAAAATGATTTTGGAAGTGCATAAAATAGGGGTTCAGACATTTGTGCAGTCAACTATCTCTCCAGTGCATGCGTGTTCTCAACACATTGCAAACGTGGTGATTTGTTTTCGTTTGGCCGCGATTCCGGATGTACACGGTACAACCGCAGTCGTCTCATAAAAGCCTACTTTGGTCATACAAGCTTCGTTATTTAGTGTACCAACAAACCGACACTGAATGGTAGAGATGTCTTCTAGCATAAATGGTTATAGTATAATAGGAATGTAAATATGTCAGCAGCGGATGGGCACCCAATTGTCAACTGATCGTGTCTCCTCATATGGTGATGAAACGTTTGCAAGTCGATTCCGAAGCTCGGCGAACAGATCAACTGCCACCTGATCAACAACCAACGAACGGTCTTAGACTGTCCAGGTTTGTTCATCCTCATGTAGTATCTACACCGATAGCTGCAGTTGGCTGATGTCATGTATAATAATTCAATGAGAAACATGCCAACTCGATTAGCTGTATTAAAAAGTGAAACAACCGCTGTACTCCCTTACAAATATCTCTCGCCGCTCCTGTTTAGCTTCACTTCTTTGTCCTTGGAGAAATGCCGGTACTTTATGTTCTACCTTTTATCCGCTAATTAATAATCAGTTTTAGCTAGGGCGACCTCTGCAGGCTAAGCTTGTGGTTATATTTGTTTGCTCAGCACCAGCATTCTGACAGCGGGTGTTTTTTGACAGCGTAGTGCACGTATGAGTAAAATACCACGTCTATATATAGTGGGTTGGCTAGACACTAAAAATGGGCAAATACGGGTGTTACATTCATTCAGTGTTGGCTACTCAGCGTGGTATGCCGCAACTCCTGGATTTATTATCATGTCTAGCTGGTCGGGTGAGCAGTAAATTTGTGCCTAATCAGTACGCCATGCTTGTACAATACGGGCAACGAAATCAATCATTGGCTGGCGGTATGTGTATGAGTTTATTTTTTGTGTTTCCTCTCAAGAAGGTGCAGTACGTATTTTAAAGTTCTCTTCGGAAGAAAATTACTGTACCACCAACATTGTACATCATTTTAACTATCGCCCATTCAGATTTTGTGCTACGTCAAAACGCAGACAGAAAGGCTGGAGAAGAAGATGGAGTTAAGCCTTGGTCGTGTTGAAGTCCCTTTGGATGCGCGTTTTTCTTCTATTCGAACTAAGGAAACAAATGTTGGCAATTTTGTTTCCGACATTGTTCTGACTGGGGTGGATGCAGAAGTAGCAATCATCAACTCAGGGACGTTGCGTGCTGATCGAATAATTGAGGCCGGAACATTCCGTTTGAGAGATCTCATTAATCTGCTTCCCATGTTGGATCCCATGGTTGTGTTGCAAGCAACTGGGAAACAAATTTACGAGGCCCTGGAAAACGGTGTTTCGCAGTATCCTAAACACGAAGGTAGGACTAAATTTTCGCTGGCTTTTCCTGTTAACTTGCATTTTTGACTGTGGGTTACCTACCTCATATTCTGGGGTAAACTGTGTTGCAATCCTTGGGCTCCACAAGGTTTGTTCCTGCCTTACTGCAGTTTATGTGATCCTCCTCTTAAGCGAATTTAAGTATATTCTCAGTTGTTGATTGGTGTGCTAGTTAGATGCATTTGGTTGGACAGTAACCTCACACGCAGCCACTATTTGTTGAGGAATTCCAGTTGCGAAATTGATTTACGTAATATTTTCCTTACATTAAATAAATTCCAAGAATAGACCAACAGTGTTACTCACTATACTCTACTTCAACTGTTTCCTGTGTGAGAATGCGCCGGTTCTTTCAATATCGGATCGCATCTGCTCGAGTGCGGTGGTGACGGGTGTTTCGAATGATATCCCACAAACCGAAAGCTCGCTTCGGTAACAGTGATGTTATATATGCTGATTCGCCAATCTGTTGTTTCTGACTGCTGACCCAGCTCCAGTGCCTAGTGCCAGAGAAAAGAGTCACAGAAGGGAACACAACAGTTATATTCCGAACAAGTGAGCGGGAGAGCGTGAGCGCGCACGAGTGCGAAAATAGGACGGCCTCAAGCTATTAATTGGAGGGACACTGAATTTGGTCCAATGCTGACGCACGCGGTCTCGGTTTGATACGAGACTGACGCGCTGCATGTTGCGTGGGCGTTATCTGACCTTGATCAACGCTGACTTGCGCTGCCTGGGTTCGATACAAGGCTGTCAAGCGCTGCGCATCGAGGAGACGTTGTCTTTCTGGTTAGCATCTAGCGGAGCTGAGGGTCTCACTAGATTTCGGGCATTCAATGCTTGCTTTCAGGAATCTGACCTTCCTGATACCTCCCTCCTTTTGACCATTCAACGTAAGATTTTCGCCGCGGATCAAGTTGTAAAGGTTCCATCAGTTTTCATCAATCATCAATCATCAATCATCAACCATCAATCATCAATCATCAATCATCAGTCATCAATCATCAATCATCAATCATCAATCATCAATCATCAATCA